AAAAAAAAAAAGAAAGGGATTTACAGTCAAAACCTGACTCCAAAGCTCTCAAGTCGGGAGAATGGCAGAATGGCAGTACCATCAGCAGAGAAGGGGAAGACGGGGGAGAAACAGGTTATTTAATTATTGAGTCTGGGGCTCCGGTGGGGCTTTCAAGTGGGTTAAAGAAATTGTGCATCTGAGTAGCTGAGGGGAGACGCACATTTGCTCAGAAGTGACCAGCGGATGCCAGGAAGCAATTTATACGATGCCCTCTGGGCCGTTACCTTTCATTCATGTCTACTCCGGTTTCTGAAGCCGTCTCAAAGCCATCATTTCCCTGGACAGTTATAACAGTCTTACGAAACGGGAAATGCAACATCACTACTTTTAACAGATAAGGAAATGGAGCTCTGAGGAGAGAGGGGATTTGCCAAAAGCATTGCAATATAGTGACAGGCCCACTATTAGAACCCGGAGCTTCTGCCAGCTGCACACAGATAAACGCCCTACTCACACCGGTCAGCTTTTAATTGCAGTGGTTTGGCGTTTTGTGGGTTTAACTGTCTCGTGTTGGGGAGAAGTTTGAGACAATGGTGCTCCATTTGATTGGCACAAATCACCACTGTTTACTCTATTGGCCAACTTTAGCGTGAAGGAATAGACAGCCCGGCTTCTAGGGAACTTGTACAATTAAGGCGCACACTCCGCGTTGCACGTTTTTAAAAGGATCCTTCTGCCTCTCTAACCTGAATGAGCAGAGTGAGCTCGTACAGGGAAAAGAGCCACGGACATGGGCATACCACGCCCAAGACCACTATGCAAAACCTTTCATTCAGAAAAGTCCTTTAAATCTTCAAGGCCCACAGGACAGGAAGAGACAGCGGGTCCCGGGTGAGCGGCGCGCTGGGCAACGCGGGCGGGGCGGACAAGTCCGGATCTGCGCCGGGGAGGCGGAGGAGGAGGCGGGCTGGCGGGAGGGGAGCGCGTGAGTCAGGCGCGGCCGCGCGCGGGGCGGGGCGCCGAGAAAGACCGGAGCCCGCCGCCCGCCGCCCAGAACTCGCAGCGCCTCCGCCGCCGGACGCCCGGTCCTCGCCAGTCCCGCGAACACACGGTAAGCCCGACCTTTTTGTCGTCTTCGAGGCTCTGCAATGAAAAGAGCCACACGGTGCTTTACACCACGCTTGATCTTTCATTTCTGTGTGGACGTGGCAGGAAGCAGGGCAGGAAAAATAAATCTGGGGTGGGGGTGCGGGTTGGAATTGGGGTAGAGAGGCAGAAAGGAAGCAGCCCTAGTGGTAGCTGTGATAGCAGCTGAGAGGCGGCTACCGGAGGGTCTCTGGCTCCAGGGCGGCGATAAGGTGCGGGGCTGGGGAAGAGGGCTGCGCTCGGCACCGCGTCCCCGCCGGGTGGCGCCACGCCCGATCCCCCTCCGCCGGGAAGGGGGCAAATCGCGGGGTCCCGCTGGGGCTGGAGGCCCCTGGCCCAGTCCTGGGCTCGCGGAAGCCAGGGAGACAAGTGAAAGAAGTGGAGCAGAGGAGGCGTGCGGCCGCTCTAGTTGTTTCTGTAGACCAGAAAAGGGCACGTCTCAGAACTGAGCCGTCTGAGCCCTGGGAAAATCCGTTTCAGTAAAGCTAGGCAACCGGCCAAGACACAAAGAGCCTGAAACTGAAGCCGCTCCCAGCCGTCGGAATGCAGCCCGGACCGTGGGAGGAGCCCGGTCCAGGCCGAGCCCCCTCCTTCTTGTCCTTTTCCTCTGAACCCACCATCTTTTCAGGGACTTGTGTCGTCATCTGTTTTTCTCTTCCCAGTTCCTGCCAACCTACTTTGAATTCTCTTTCTAACTTTTGCATTAAACCACCTCCAGAATTTACCTCCTCAAAGGCCTCTTTAGTGAAAGGAGTCAAATAAGCTTCCGCCCGGGGGCTAGATGGGGTTTCTGTGTCTCCCCCCTCCCCCCAAGCTGTGCATGGATTTTACGTTTTTGAGTGGTGGAAAGAAAATCACAGGAAGAATAATACTTTGTTACACGTGAAATGATATGAAAATCAAACTTAATTGTCCATCAATGAAGTTTTACTAGCACACGGCCTCGCCCGTTCCCCTATGAGTAGCCTGTATGGTTGCGTGACAGAGACAACATGGACCACAGTGGCCTAATATGTTTACTGTTTGGCCCTTTACAAACACATTTGCCCCCCTCTGCTCTAGTGTGTCAACCTTTATCGCTGCCTACTCTTCCCCTCTTTACTTTCCATGCATGTGTCCCATGGAACCTTGAAAAGGCGGACCCCGCACCAATAGGTGGTGAAGATCTGGAATGATTGTCCTGTCCTGGAGGAAGGTGGATACCATTATGGATCCTTCGGGGGGCGGGGGAGTAGGAGGGTAGGAGCATATTGGTTAAGAATGACAACAGCAGGGGCGCCTGGGTGGCTCACTTGGTCAAGGGTGGGACTCTCGATCTCAGCTCAGGTGTTGATCTCAGGGTTGTGAGTTCAAGCCCCACGTTGGGCTCCATGCTGGGCGAGGAGGCTACTTAAAAAAAATAAGTATGACAACAGCAATGCTGGAGTCTTTTTCAAGTGTTACTTCTTTTTCACATTACTTTTTCTTCCCCCTTTCCTCAAATGTTGAATATTTAGCATGCATTTTTTAAAATTCACGGTATCCAGTTATCTCACACCATTTTCTTCTTCCTATCATGTTGCCAAATACAACTGTGAGGATGTAGTGAGCCGTGGGGAGTGCTGGCCTCCAGGCAGGAGATCTGGTTCTCCTCTCTCTCAGCCTCTGCTCCACCTTGAGCAAAGCTTTCCTGTCTCTGGGCCTCCCTTCTCTGGAACCATCTCCCAAGCCCCCTCCAGCTTGCAATTTTGCAATTCCATTTCAGTAATTTGGTAATTGTGTTTCTTTCTTTTGCTCTGGAAAATTACCTCTGAGGAGAAGTACAGAGGTTTTAATTTTTTCCATGCGTGGCTGATAGCAAGTTTCAGGAAGGAAAAAAAATAAGGCAGAAAGCCACTTTGAAACTAGAAAAGCAAAATGGTCTGAATTCCACAAGGAAAGGGGGACAGAGGAGCATCTGTAGGCCTCACAAAGCCCTTGCTCCTTAGCCTGGAACCTTCTGCCTTATCTGGCTTGCCCTCCCAGCTGACCTTCTTCCTGTCAACTGACACATTAGTAAGACAGTCAGATTTTAGTCCTGATAAGGAAGGCGGTTGAGCAAACACATCTGTTTCCAGGCTGTGGTATTCTGTTTCACTCCCAAACCCTGGACCTACAAACATTTTTCTTTCCTTAAGAAAAAGTTCTCTTTGAGAAAAAAGAAAAAATCCCAACAAGATGACTGTTGGGAAAGAATCCACCTCCAAAAGAGTTCATTAGAACCACCTCCGAAGGGGTTTTACAGATCAGGCAGCTCAGCTAGCTGGTAAAGCACCTGGAGAAACTGCGGATGAAAAGGCTACAGGAGAGAAGAGGGAAGGAGCCCAAAACTATGTGGCTAAGGGCTCAGATTTTTCCGTAGCACGTTAATTACAGTCCGAAGCTCATTAGTTACTGGGATTGAAAGCCTCCAGGAAGTCCCAAAAAGACCAAATTAAAAGCTAACTGCTAAATTGCAAATGTCACCGTCCAAAGATCTTTTTTTTTTTCAAGATTTTATGTATTAGAGAGAGAGAGAATGAGCGATGGGAGGGGCAGAGGAAGAGAGAAGCAGACTCCCTGCTGAGCAGGAACCCTGATGCAGAACTTGATCCCAAGACCCAGAGATCATGACCTGAGCCAAAGACAGCTTTATGGACTGAGACACCCAGGAACCCCACAAAGATCACTGTTAATACCTGAAGATAAAGCCTCAAAGGAAGGGCATCACTGGCAAGTTTTCCAGAAAGCCTGCAGTGGCCAGACTGAACCACCAGGGGATCTAGGTACCAGCAAGAATGACCCGAAGACTCTGAAAAATAGGATTTCCCTGAAGAATTCTGTTATAAGGAAAGCAGAGCTCACATAGAATTGACCCCAGCTTCTCCTGGTGCTACCATGGCTAAGGTTCAGCTCTGTAGATGTCGGGAGCTGTGTGAGTAGCAACCTGAGAGCTCCCTTCCTGAGATCCACCTTTGTGGTTTGAAGTGACCAAAGAAGTTCCTCCAGCCATTCCTGTAGGAATTAGTGGCATCTGGAAGTAGAAGGAACAAAGACCAAGAACTGCAGAAAGGGACCTGGAGGCTGAGATTCTAGGGGTGATTCTGCTATGTCAATTCCCTTCTCATGTCTCCGTTTCCTCACATGTAAAATTAATGGTTCCTAACCTTCGATATGAAAGCTGCTTTTGAACATCCAAAAAGCTCTCAGATCTCCCACCCCACACACAATAATAACTAGGCATTTAGTATTCTTCTAGAAAATACAGGAGTCCCAGGAATTCAGTATTGCTTTATTTTTACTTGTTTATTGGGATGGGGCAGACAGACTCTGAAGCAGGCTCCACGCCCTGCTTGGGGCTTGATCTCACGACCCTGAGATCATGACCTGAGCCGAAATCAAGAGTCGGTCGCCTAACTGACTGAGCCACCCAGACACCCCCAGTATTGCCTTAAAAAGCTGCCATTTCATTCATCCCGGCAGCCTCTATATTCTCTTAGAAAATAGGAAATTATTTAATCTCTAGACAGTGCTTGGCGTGCTTACAGATCTGTGGCTATATAGTTATACATCTGTTTACCCACAGATTCTAGGAACATCAGTAAAACCTGCCACGCTCACTCTCATCAAGGCAGTCTGCTGCTTTCAGACACACCCACATGCTCCATGCGTACCCTCACTATGCTTCACCTGGAATAAACATGGGAACCAATAGAGGAGGCATGCTCACGGAATGTGACTCTCTGTGTTCGTTCTGGGCCCCTCCTCCCCCTAAAAAATGACCTAGCCTTTTAGGAAACTGCTTTGCCCCAAAGTGAAGGTATGAGATTCTCTATAGAGTGTTCTCTAGCATCTAGCCCTTGTCTGAGCCCTGACTTTTTTTCTCTAAAGGCAAAAATGTCCAGCCCTACTGAGACTGAGAGGTGCATCGAGTCTCTGATTGCTGTTTTCCAGAAGTTTGCTGGAAAGGAGGGTAACAACTGCACACTCTCCAAGACAGAGTTCCTAACCTTCATGAATACAGAACTGGCTGCCTTCACAAAGGTATTGCTCCCAGCCCCCGGCCCCCAAACTAACCAGAGCTCGAAATAAGACACTGGCAGAATGGCTAGAAGTGAAGGCCCACACTCTGCCTCCTTTTCATTCACTCTAAGCTGGGGGCCTGCATAGACAAGGCTGAGCCCCTAGGCCTCTGAGTGAGCTCTGCGTGACCGTGAAAGGACCTTTTCTTCTTTTCTTTGCATAAGATATATTTTAAAGATCAAAGTTATCAAACTACATGACACAGGGAATGGTAATTTTTTTCTTTCATTTAGGGAAAAGGCATACGAAATGGTAAATGGTGTAATAGGATAGTTTCAAATTTTATTCCTCCATCCCAAAGCCTCTAGGGAAGCCCTGTCCCATGGAACTTTCTGTGATGATGGAAATAATGTTCTGCATATCTGCACAATCCGATGTGGGAGCCACTAGGTGCAGGTGCCACTTATGGACTGACTTTCTAAATCCCTAATTGAAACAGCCATATGCAGCTAGTGGCTGCACATGCATGATGTGTTGGCCACTAGGCTGAGCGGAGGAGGAGGCGGCGGATCAGGCCTGCGTCCTCTTTCCATCTCGAATCACTCCACTTCCCTACAGTCTGTACACTGCGGTTGCATGCAACACTTGAAAAAGGTGTTCCACTGCTTTTGTGAAATTGCACAACCCCTGGCCGTCACAGAGGAACCCTGGGCTGAGAGCCAGAAAATGTGGGTTCTGGTCGCAGGTCTTCCCCTTCAGCAAGTCACTTCACCTGTTTGAGTCTGTCTCTGTGTCTGGGAAGTGGGAATGTTACTAACCCTTACCCTGTACCGCACATTCTTGTGAGACTAAGATGTGGCAACATAATGGAAAGCATCTTAGAAAGTGTGATATAAATTAATATATTATTAATAGTAGTAGTATCATGATGGTTATTGTTATCTTTGCAGAACCAGAAGGACCCTGGTGTCCTTGATCGCATGATGAAGAAACTGGACCTCAACGCTGACGGGCAGCTAGATTTCCAAGAATTTCTTAATCTTATTGGTGGCATGGCCATGGCTTGCCATGACTCCTTTACAAGGTCTGCCCATTTCCGGAAGTAAATCAGAGGGGCTCTTGGGCCTTGGCCTCCAGACCACCTCTTTCCTTCAAAACAGCCTCCCAATCATCACATCCTCCTCACATCCTCCACGGACCCCGAGCCCAGAGCATCCACCACCCCCTGTGCAGGCCAGTCCTGCTGGTAGTTAATAAAGCAATAGCTTTTTTTAAAGCACACACTAGAGAGTCAGTACATTTGTGCCAGGGAGGAAGCAGCATGGGAGGAATGGAATTAACGTGATGGAAGCAGTTCCCAGAGCTGCACAGTAAATAGTGAAAATACACACTGCGTGTAGATGTAATTATGACTCACGATACCAAAAGAGTCATTCCAGATTACTCAGACTGATGGAGAGATGTCACTTGTCATAACTCACTCAGTGCCCTACTATGGGCATTGTCACAGGCTCTGAAGATACAGTCAGCAGGACAGACAAGGTCCCGCATTCACTGAGCTGACTTTCTAGTGGGGGAGACAATGAATGAGTAAGCAACAAACAAGACGACTAGAATGTGATAAATCCTGTGGAGGAAAGATTACAAGGTGGTGTGTTACAGGTTAACTGGGGCTGGAGGAGGGCATTCTTCCGAGATCTCATGTGCGCTGACATCTGAAGGATCAGATGGAGCAAACCTCAGCAAAAATGGAGGGAGTTTCAGGAGAAGGAAGAGCAAGGGCAAAGGTCCAGAGGTGTTAAGGAGCAGGATGCTGGAGGAATGGAAAGGAGGCTAGTGTGGTCAAGGTCTTGGTGTTCGGCTGTGGGTTTCCTTCTTTATGTCTGGCTTGCGCAGACATTAGTCTTAATTTTCTAAGCCCTCTGATAAAGCAGCAGGGAAAGAGCCTAGACACGGACTGGAAGGCTGACCCAGGGTTAAATACGGTAGACAAAGAGAAGCATGTTCTGGGGCACATATCCCTAAGCAGCACAGGTGAAAGTGATTGTTTCTAGAGGCCCTCTGATTCCTTATCCATCTGCATGAGTTTTAACTTCTTAGTAAAAAGCTCTCTAGATAGCAGTTTCTTCCTTCATAAATTAATAGAATGAATTAGACCATTACTAGGACCATTTTTTGTTTGGCTCTGACATTCCAGAATGAAGACCCGTGCCTCAGGCTGGCAAGACCCAAAGTTTTCAAGTAGAACTGTAACTACTTTTTGGATAAGTTCCTTAATTCATTAGCAGCACAGGGGATAGAATCTGTAGTCAGTTAAAGTGTGCATATTATTCCCTTGGTAGGTGCACCCATATACAAATAAATAATAAAAATAATTAAAAAGTGTTACTATCCCAAAGAACACTGAGCCAGGGAAGAGATGGAAAAACATCAGGCACCCTAAGGTTACTGGCCCCTTTGCTATTCTACCAAGAAATCACTGGCCCTGGCTTTAAGACATCAGGCTCAGGGAACTAACTGGGAAATCTTTACTTGCTTGGCTCCCTCAAACTTGGAAAGAAGTAAGACCCAATCTGTACCAAGCTTTTAAGCCAAGATTCAAATCAACAACTCTGAAGTGCCTCCTATTAGAAAGGTGAGTTTGGGGAGGAAGTGATAAACTCATAAGGGCTGTTGTATTTAAAGTGCCATTAGTAGGTCCAGTTGGCAATGCCCAGTGGGCATCTGCATTTGAAGTCTGGAGAGATCTGGCTTGAGAAAGAGGGGGGCTTGGGGCCGTGCCCTCAGTTGGAAAGGGGGGGGTAGCAAGAGGAAGAAGACTTAGCAAAGGAGAGTCTAAGAGGTCGGGGAAGAGGAGCAGAGCTGACATGGACAAGATCATGGTTAGGAACCCCATCAGGCAATCACGGTCCTTCAACTCCAGGCCACGTGCGAAGCCTGCCTCCCCTGCCTCACACTCTGCTTGCGGATCTTGTCCACCCGTCTTCATTTACCCGTAGAGGCCAGTCCACACATACCTCCTCAACCCACCTCTAGCTCCTGAACTCGACACTGCCTCCTCCTCCACGTAAAATACCAGTATCTTTCACATACTCAAGTATTGAACAAAGTGTAAACGTGTATCTGACAGGGTATGAATAAGGCAGAGGAGATTCTTGTCCTCAAGAAACTCACATTCTCTGGGTCAGCATACCCCAAACTGAATTCAGCATCCTCCCAAGTCCCCAGCTGGCCCCTCCTCCACTGCCCCCATCTCAGGAAATGGCACCTCTGTCCATCTAGCCGCCCTGCCCAGAAACATGGAAGTCACTCGTCACATCCACCCAAACCCTCAAGTTCATCTCATTCTTCACCAGAATATCCCTCGAACCCACCCCAGGCCTCCCCCGAGCCGGGCACCACTACCGCTGGATACTGCAGCAGCTTCCTCAGTGGCCCCACTCCTCTCGCCCTGCCCTTCTCCAGACCTTCCTCCCTCCTGAAGCCTCTGATCTGGTTGCTCTCCAGCTTCGCGCCTTTCAGTGGACTCCCCAGGGCTCTTGGGTATGGAAGGCCAGGCACAGCAGCCCCACTTTGCTCACTGTGCACTGGGCCTCCCGGGCTCTGCCTTCATGCGTGCACTTTCTATGTTCCAGCCATCGTGACCTTTAGTTCCCTCAACACGAGGGGTTCACTCACCTCCTGGCCCGAGCTCTCTGCCCAGAACTCTGTCCCACCCTCACCACACCCATTCCCAGGTCCGTTTCCACCTACCCTTCCCTTCTCAGCCTTCATGGTTTTTTTTTCTCCAGGAAGCCTCACAAAACTCCAAGTGGGGATGAAGCGTCCCTCCCATGAACTATCAGGCTCCGTGCTTCCCCTTTCATGGCACTCACACTAATGGGTCTCTACACAGTGCATTTTCCCTGGGCAACCTTCTTCAGACTCATGGCTTTGATCTGTATGCTCATGACTTAACATTTCTATATCCCCAGCCCAAATCTATCTCGAGAATTCTCAAGTCCTCTTTTGAACCCAACATCTCTACCTGGCTATCCCACAGCTTGTTGTTGGTCATGGGAAATTCCATTTCAAATGTTGTAAGCAAAGCAAAAATCTATTGGCTCATGTAACTGAACAGCCAAGGGACAGCTTGAGCTTCAGCACAGCTGTAGGAGATGGTGTCTTTCTCTAAATTCCTGGGCTGTTCCCACCCCTGGCCTGTTTCATGTGCCCACCCAGGCCAATCAATGGGTCTGAAGGTATGCAGTGCACTGATCAACGTAGGCTTGGACTGTGTACTTGACCCTTAGAACTGGGGGTGGACCCCCACCCAAACTACGAGAACCAAGAGTTGGGGAGAGTGGATCAGACATGTGAGGTGGATCCTCCAAAAAACAAGGAGCATGCCCACATAAGGAACACATGCCTCCAACACTACATGTTTTCAACTGGACTCTACAGTTGACTACTGAACAACACAGAAGTTGGGGCTCTGACTCTCACGCAGTCAAAAATCCACACAACTTTGACTCCCCCCCCGCAAACTTAACTAATAGCAAGAACCACAAGAGATTACTCTTTACTACAGTATGCAATTTACCAGCCAGGCAACTGCTCAGATGGTGGTATTAGCATCACACGTTTTGTGCAGATACTGCACAACATTTGGACTCATTGCAATAGCAACCAGAGGCGGCTACAAAACTGTTATGGTACAGTATGTGCTACAGTTAATTTTATACAGTTATGATTTAATATTGCATTTTTATGCTCATTTACATTTCTCTTGACTGCTAATGCTGCCACATACAGTCTGTAAGTCTGTGTGAGTTTTGATGAATTTTAACTCTTTTATAATAGATTTCTATATACATTATGGTAATTAATAAAATAGACTAGTATCTACATATATTTTATGCCTTGTGACATACCTGTTTCTTAATATTTTTGATATTTCACTTATGCAGTTCATGAGTTTTTTCAAATTGTTGCAGATCTCTAAAAAGTCTTCCAATATATTTATTGAAAAAATTCCACTTGTAAGTGGACCCATACAGTTCAAACCTGTGCAGTTCAAGGCTCAACTGTATATCCTTCTCCCAGAACCTGATCCTGTTGATTCACTCCCAATTTCAGTGGATTGCACCACCATCCACCCAGCTGTCCAAACCAGGAAACTGGAGATGATCCTAGACTTTCGTTCTCACAACCACATCCAGTCATCATTTCTTGGGTTTTACCTCTTGCATATGCATCCCCTCCTCTCCACCCTCGTAGCTTTATTTCAGACCTTTCTTGTAACTGATTCATTTAACCATCTCCCCATTCCCTCTAAAAAAAAAAAACAAAACTGCTGACTGATGACCATAGAACTGCAAATGTCTGTGGCTAATTGATAACTCTTGGGGAGCCCCCATCAGTGAAATCATGTGTTCACTAAGAGCATATTTGTGGTTGTTCCCAAATCTGTTCATATCAGTTGTACTTGTTCTTTGAAAATTGAAATTTAATTAAATAAACCAATAAAATATGGGTACAGAAGGTTGTCTTTATGAAAGCTAAACTGAATTTTCAAAGACTTGATTAGGGAAATTCACTGAAGATCACTGTAGTTGATGTAGGTGTATCTGAGACAACCATAAACAAATGAGGGAAAAAACTGCTAAAAATCTAGAAGCATCTTTCACTCAGATTGTCCCACAATTATCTTTAAATTCTCCACTAAAAAAAAGAAAAAGAAAAAAGAAAACAACAAAAACTAGGGTCGCCTGGGTGGCTCAGTTGGTTAAGCATCTGACTCTCGGTTTCGGCTCAGGTCATGATCTCATGGTCGTGGGATGGAGCCCCATGTAGGGCTTCACATTCAGCAAGGAGTCTGCTTGAAGATTCTCTCCTACTCCTCTCCCCACTCACACTTGTGACGCATGTGCATGCCTTCTTTCTCTAAAATAAATATTTCTTTTAAAAAAATCCTAAAAGTTATCATGAATGTGATTTACACAAGAAAGGTAATATAGCAAAATATTGGTAAGCATACATGTTTTAAGTAAATATTTGAACTATTGTTACTTTTATGAATACTCGTTTGGACTGATTTCTTTTAATAAGCCCACCAATTACTGGTCCCTCCCCTTCCAAAAAGACAGCCTCTACTATTTTGCAATAAACTCTCTTACTCTTCTCCCTGTCCCCAGTTTGACCTCTTCCACTCCTTTCTCCACCCTGTGACCAAAAGGGGTTTTAAAGGCAGACTTGATGGTGTCACTCCCATGGTAAAATGGCATCGGATCCTCTCAACATGCAGGATAGAAACCAGACTCATCTCGGGACACCTCCAGAGTCCTCATGGTCCAGGCCCTGCCACCCTCCAGTCTCATTTCCCGCTCTCAATGATCACTTTTCCCTAGCCTTGCCAAACACT